TAGAACATATTTCGGCATATTTCGCAATAAATGCATATTTTTGAAATAAATGCTAAATTTAGTGCATATACGAAAAAGTTTTATTTTTTAATTATAGGGCCTGTGCGAATTGATAGAAAACTAATCTGGATGGTAAATTTTTGACAACTATGGGGTGAATAAAAATTGCCGAGCCCTACAGGCTAATGAAAAATTTAACGGCAAGCATCACACTTACCTGAAACGGGTTTGAAACGTTTTTTGTTATAATATTATTGCCCAAGACATCTAATAAGTGCATGGCTTTCTGTTTTGAAAGAACTGAAATCAGAAAATACAAATATTTTCCATGTAAATGCTGCATTTTGATCCATTGGATGTTGCAACGAGATAAAATCTCCACTTTTTCCTCCACTGGTTACCTGCGCAAACAGCTTTTGACGAATTTCTGAGGACAACATTGCGGGCACTTGTTCGGCGTTACCATTAGAATATTGAATTAACTTCGAATCAATTTTAATTTGGATTTGTGCTTATTATTTGAATAATATTTTTTGCCACTAGCAGCATTGACTTTATCGGCACATATGAATTCGAAGTGGCTTTGGCTGAAATTCACTCGGAAGTGAATTGCAGAACCTGCCTGATAGGAATTTATTAAGAGAGCTGAAGGAAAACTAAATTGAATTAAATTCATCCGATTGAAAAATATACAGCGACTGAAATTTCTGCCTTTAAGTTCGACCCTTCTCCATGTTTAAGAATGTATTCCGCGATAACAGGCAATCATTTCTTTCCGAAAATTTATCCGAATATTGTTATTTATTGCAAGAAAAATATTTAAGTTAAATTTGCGTTCTTATTTCTATACATATGTTAGTGAATACGCACTAAATGTTTAACATTTTACTTTTAGCAGTGTTTTTGTACATTTTTGAATAAAATTCAATAGATTTTTTACACAAGAAAAATTGAGCTTTTTAATTTTTTTTTAAATCCATATTTTAAGCATGTTTTTGATATTCACCCTCATTGCGAGAGTCGTGTCGAATGCAAGTCGTTTTTCGAGAGTCGAATCGTAGCGAAAATTTCACGTCATTGCATAAATTTCCACTCGACTAGTGTATTAAAACGGAAAAACTTGGCAGCACTGTATAGTTTTCGACAAATTTCGTCGTTTACTTTTTTCGGCACGACAGTAAACAATGCCAATGTTGTCGAGTCGTACAATTTAGCCTAATTTACGACTTACGCAATGAGGCTGATTATTCGTGCATATTTTGGCATATTTCTTATATATCGTGGATATTTTAGGCGCTTAAAATCATGTTTTTATGGCATATTTTTGGTTGCCCTAATTATAACTATCGAAGTTGGATAAGTGAAGTTTTTTTAATTACTTAAGATGTCTTCCCAAATCCTTTGGAAAAAAAAAAATTCTTAAAAAATACGGCGTAAAAACATATGCATGTCTGTATAGTATGTACATCAAACTTCATCCCAAGAAACACCAAAAAAGTATTTCTCCAACCTTGGAGAAATTTATGGTTCTCAAGTTGATATCCAACATCTTTCTTTAATTCACTTCTAACCGACGGGCAGATACATACCTAAAAAGTGATAGAGGATAGAGGAATTTTTAATTATCAAGTGAAAAACTAAAGCTATATACATAAAGAGGAAAATTGCCAACGAAAAGTAAATAATCTTCAAAGTATCTTCAAAATACAGCCCAATTCTGAATACTCCCGAGCATTTTGTTCTCCGGGAATATGTTTCTCCCGAGAAAGAAATCATCCAATAATTAACTCTCAGGGAGTAGCATTTTATCCGAAAATTTGGGAGGAGGAAATTCGAACTTCGAAAGAGCTGTTTGACACTTTTTTGACAGCTCAACCCCGCCATTTAATATAAAAAATCATCAGGGAATTTTTATTCATGATAGGAGGAAAGGGAAGGGAGAGTTTCTGTTCAAAATCGGCCTGATAGTTTTCACAGAAAACAAATCGCGAAGTGAATCGAGTGGTAAAATTACTGTCGGACTGTATACTGTAAAGTGAATAATTGCAACACGATATTGACATGCAACTACAGAACTATTTCAATTTCAGTGATATGTTTGAGACCAATTAGAGAATGACATTGGAGTTCAAGTTGAAAACTAGCATTTTCTCAACTTGAGTAACAGTCCTATTTCCATACAAAGAAAAATGCCCTTTTGGTTGAGAGCGCTATGATCCTACACTTGAGGTACTGTTGAGAAACAACGTTGGAGATTTGAGAACGACCTTAGTTCTCAACTTAACCTCAAGTTGAGCTCAAACCTAAAGGTTTGTTGGGTTTGTTCATATTTTGTGAATTTCTGTTATTCGAAGCTGCTTTCAGAAGAATTTTACATAAACTGCTTTTTTAATTGTCATCTAATGCATACCAAATTTTGCAGATCGAGCGCGATAAGGCCGATCTCAGCGTTCAAGTCATCCAGATGTCCGAACGTCTTGAGGAAGCAGAAGGCGGCGCTGAACACCAGGTGAGCAAAAACTGAATACATACATAAAAAAAAAAAAACAATTTCTTGAGATTTTAATTGTACCTTTCCCCCATATGCTTTTACGTTTAGTTCGAGGCAAATCGCAAACGTGACACTGAATTGTTGAAGCTCCGCAAAATGCTTGAGGATGTCCACCTCGAATCCGAAGAAACTGCCATTCTTCTGAAGAAGAAGCACAACGAAATTATCTCGGATTTCCAAGAACAAATCGAAATCCTAACGAAAGCGAAGTCTAGGTAAGTTTTACTTGTACACGCAGTTAGTTTACGCACGCTACGCTTGTAAATATGCAGTCGCTTCATACACTACGCTTAGTCAGCGCGGGAAATTACTCGAGTACCGTTAACAAGATGACAACAAGCTTGCGCCACAACGCTTTTTGTAATAATAAGGTCAGGGTATCTCCAGCGACAACTTCCGTGATTGCGCTGAGCTGCTTCACACTACTGGCCCGACTACTGGCTACGAGGTCAGCGCGACCCCGTTTGCCAATTCGCGAAAATGTACCAGCCAATAGTCAGCAAATTTTGTTTAGTGTTTATACAAAAAAAAAAAAAAACGAAAAAAACGGTGCATTTTATGTGCGGAAAATTTGCACTACAAGTAAATAAATAATTGAGTGCATTGCGCTCTGCACAGTGGGAAGAGGCGACCACAGATATTGCAAATATTTGCATATGGACTTATTTACTCATCGATGATTTCAAGCGTTGAAAGGCCATTGTTGCGGGAAATACAAAAATGCGCGTGAACAAATTAAAATGCCTTAGAAAATTCAAAATCTGTCGAAATAAATATAGAGGAATGTTTGTGTATGTACATATATTGTAATTACACATTTAAGTACCGGTCTATGTATGCACCTCAGTTTGTAGATGCGATTGCGAAAAGTGTTCGTTAAAATCTCATATTTCCAAAATCCAAAAATAAAACATCTGTGTCGAAATGATTTTCAAGGCTACTGACACACACACACACACACGCAAAAGCCGAGTGAGAGCCACTTTTGCATTGCTCACCGCGTCTGCGCTTTGCCCAGAAGATGGTAGCCTAGCTGTGTTACTTTGAACTCCGCTAACTGTTGACACCTCATTTCCAAAACCTGGAACCTTTCGAACTTTGGCACTCTAAAACTTAATTTCCACATAAAATCCACTGTTCCTCTGTGCTTTGCTGTGTTACTCTTGTCGTCGTTTCTATTTACGAGTATTTGTTTGTGCGTGTACTATTGTCGGCAACGGGCTTTCACCTGTGGTCTTGCGCATTCCGTTGCATTGAGCTTACGACACAAAGTAGTTGTCCCACTCCCACTACCGGTGTATGTGCACTATTCTTGCTTCCTTTCGGCATGAAAGATCGCTCCATCCGGCGGCGAAAGCTTTGGCCGCAAAAGCACCTTCCGTCCGCACCGGCCAACAGGCCACTCAAATACAATCTCTAAGCAACTTTTTCTCTTTTTTTTGTTGCATATTTTATTGTTTTCTTCTCTTTTTTTTTAATGTTCATTGCTTACACAAAACAACGTACGTATAAAAGCGAAATATGTGTTCGGATATTTTTAGAAAATTTTGAATTTTTCCTACACATTTTTTCACACGACTTACGTCGCCACCTTTTTTGCCGCACGGCCCACACAATGCTAATGGGCCGCCGGCGGCGGTGTTGGTCGGTCGCTTCTCTGCACTGTCGATCCAAATATGTCTTTGATTCAGTATTTCAGTAATATTTAGTGTATTTGTATTGTTGTTGTCTCTTTTTGACAAATTCACCTTTATGGAAATACGATACTTTTTTGAACAGGCGAGCGAGCAATCCTACTGCCAACATAAACTTTATGAAGTTCAAAGCGGATTAGTGAGCTTCATAGGTAAAAGATTTGTATCACAGAGAAATTGTGGTAAAACAGGTGATTTTATATTTTGGAAATACTACTAATCAGTCATAAGTGCTTTGCAGATTTATGTCAAATGATAAGCGTTCAATGTCGTCCTATATCGTGTTTGTCAATGCAAAAGTTCCGAATGCACGAATGCGAATCTTTAAAAGCCAAAAACTTTACTGGCATAAATTTAAAAAATCCCAAATTTATAATTGCATTGATGATGACGATATACATTTACTTAATATGACCTTAAATTGATTTGTTTTTTTTTCATTTTCCAATTCTTGAGCTGGTGGCGCATACACACAAAAAGCTCCAGTCGATCGATCTTTCAGTTTACCCGCACTGTTCAGTTCGGACTGAAAAAGCTCTTTTATGCATATTTTCAATGGTAGTCCATGCGCCTAGCCACAGTAGCCACAGCACTATTTCCTTCTAGCATTCAAAATATGCACAAAATAGCTTTTCACGTACTAAAAATTGACTGTTGTCAAACACAGTCGGCTAACTGAAAGATTTTGTATCTGTAGCACAATGCAAAACTAAGCTCAGCTAAATACAGTATGTAGATTTTCAAAGCATAGCACCGCCGTACAGCCAACCGATTTAGCGCGCTTCCGCTGCCTTTCTGCTACAGCCTAAGTATTCTTTAATCAAAAATTATAATTTCTAACGCCTTTCTCTTTCTTGAATATCACTAATTATCACTTTTTTATTTCCTCCACCCGCATCACTTTCTTACCCATTCAGGGCTGAGAAGGAGAAATCCAAATTCCAGGCCGAAATTTACGAATATCTCTCTCAAATCGAATCCTACAACAAGGAGCGAATCGTTACCAGCAAGCATGTCGAACGGCTGGAAGTGACAATCTCTGAATTGAATGTGAAAATTGAGGAATTGAACCGCACAGTCATTGACATCACATCGCACAAGACCCGCCTCTCGCAAGAGAACATTGAATTGATCAAGGACGTCCAAGATCTCAAGTCCCAACTGGACACAGTCTCATATTCCAGGAGTCAAGTCGTCTCCCAATTGGAAGATGCACGCCGCCGTTTGGAAGATGAAGACCGTCGTCGTTCAATGTTGGAATCTTCCCTTCATCAAGTTGAAAGCGAATTGGATTCGACTCGCATTCAACTCGAAGAAGAATCGGAAGCTCGTATTGACTTGGAACGTCAGTTGGTCAAGGCCAATGCCGATGCCATTACCTGGCAAAACAAATACCAGACCGAAGTAGTTGCCCGCGCTGAGGAGGTCGAAGAGATCCGTCGCAAATATCAAGTGCGCATTACCGAGCTTGAGGAACATGTTGAAACACTGATTGTTAAGATCAACAACTTGGAGAAACAAAAGACTCGCTTGGCCAGTGAAGTTGAAGTGCTCATTATCGACTTGGAGAAATCTAA